ATAAAATACTAAGAACAAAATAAAGAGCAGGACTCCAATCCCAGACAAATAGGCTGCTTACTTGTATATCTTTCACTCTAACAATGATAAGTGAAGGCAGAGAAAGAAGAATTGGAAGATATAGAAATGAAAACATACATAGAAAATATTCAATAGCTTCCTGGGATTGAATTGTAGACACAGTAACTCTTGTCATATCAGCCTGGTCACCCTGCAGGGTTTACTGAACAATTGGTAATGGTCTGTTCCGGTGGTTCTTCCAATGTGCCCACCCGTCTTCACAGCCGCTCCACATGTGTAAACAGAGATGAAGTCTTGGGATGCTCAATACAGGAAGGTCTAACTTTCATCCTCTTGAGCCTATGTTGAATGACTCTCCTCTGCAGTATGTTTCTGATGAGCATTCATTCAGCTTCCCTTTGCACAGAATGAAGTGATATCAACTCTGGAAACTTCTATCGAGCACTTACTCTGTGCAAAGAATTGCGTGCGGTGCTGAGAAGGAAGTCAAGTCCAGTGAGAAATTGGAACTTGGAAAAGTTTCCATTTTGAAGGACCCATCCTGAGCCAAACAAAGCCACTGAAACAGATTAAAATAGGGCATCTATTTCCATGTTGTAGAAACACATGAGCATACAGTGGAATGCCAGAGCTGAACTCAGGAGTTCTGGGTCTGGAAATATGAAAGATGAATGACTGTTTACATTTTGTAGAGAAAGAAATATTTCGTGCATGATGGAGGTCTGCAGCCAGTTGCTGTTGTTCAGTTGCTAAGTCGTATCCAACTCTTTGCGACCCCATGGATCGCACGCCAGGCCTCCCTGTCCTTCACCATCTCCTGGAGTTTGCTCAGACTTATGTTCACTGAGTTAGTGATGCCATCCAACCATCTCATTCTCTGTTGCCCGCTTCTCCTCCTGCCCTCAATCTTTCCCAGCATCAGGGTCTTTTCCAATGAGTTGGCTCTTGGCATCAGGTGGCCAGAGTATTGGAGCTTCAGCTTCAGCCAGAGTCAGTATCTAAAACCAGGGCTAGATGCTCTCTCAGCACCAAACGAGCTAGAAAACAGTAACTTTTGCTGCATGCTTGCAGTGCAGCCAGAAAGAGGAAGGTGTGGGAGCAGGGCCAAGGCCCTCACGGCCTTGGTGAGTGTGCTGCATTTTCCTCGCATTGTTGTAGGATGTCAGGCTAAGGCTGCTGAGAAGAGACCTGATGCTGGACAAGGCAGTGAGGCCCAGGCAAGGCAAAGGACAGAGAGCAGTGAGGAGTGGGAGAGGAGGAAACACACCTCACCCAAAATTATCTGAAGATGATTAACACCGATGAGATGACAGCCACACTGGGAGATGAATTTTCCAGTGCAGTGTGCGCTCCGTTGTTTCAGTTAAGTCTGACTCTTTAATGACTCTATGGACGAGCTCTTAGTCCATGGTGTTCTCCAGACAAGAATACTGGAGTGGGTTGCCATTTCCTCTTTCAGGGGATCTTTCCGACCCAGGTACTGAACCCTTGTCTCCTGAGTCTCTTCCACTGTAGGTGGATTCTTTACCCACCGAGCCACCGGGGAAGCCCACAGATAGGAGAACATCAAAATAAACTTACTGAGTATGCTTAAGACCCTCCCGGAAATAAAGGAGTAAAGTCCATGAAATAAGTCATTATGAAAAAGAAAAAAAGTGACTATCTCATCCTTGCATGAAATGTTCCCATGATATCTCCAATTTTCTTGAAGAGATCTCTAGTCTTTCCCATTCTATTGCTTTCCTCTATTTCTTAGAATTGTTCATGTAAGAAGGCCCTCTTATTGTTCCTTCCTATTTTTTGGAACTGCATTCAGTTGTCTATATCTTTCTGTTTCTCCCTTGCCTTTTGCCTCTCTTCTTTCCTAAGCTATTTATAAGAAGTTGACTGGGCATCAGGGAATATCCAAACTTTTTCATGTGAAAGCAAATAAGCAAAAACAAGGTCCTGCTGTATAGCATGGGGAACTATATTCAAAATCTTGTGATAAACCATAATGGAAAAGAATGTGAAAAAGAATGCTTATGTGTGGATGACTGAATCACTGTGCTATACAGCAGAAATTAACACATTTTAAATCAATTGTACTTGAATAAAAATTAACAGAAATAAATAAAGACATAAATAAACATCGAGTTAGCTAAAAAAACAAAAATGCCTAGTAACCATTAGTGTTCTAAACCCCATCACTCATGATGGACTATTGCTAATGTTAGACTAACCCACAATGTAGCTATTTCATTTCAATCTGCAGCTGTTCAAATTAAAGGGATTTACTACACTTGCTTTTGAAAAGTTCTGTAATAAGTATAGCAATGCATTCCTGCTTATATTTCCATATAATTTGAATAACGGTATCATTTAAAACAGATGTCAGTTTCTTTGAATACAATCATATGTTGCTCTCAGCACTATGTGCCCATAGATTTATACTTAAGTAACCCAATATGAGGTTTTATGCCTGTATCACCTGTTTTATTGGTGCATCTTCTTTCTTATTTAAATCTAGCTCCTGAAAGCAGTGTTTTTGTTTTGTAAATATGTATGTGTATGTTAAGTCACTTCAGTTGTGTTTGGCTCTTTGCGACCCTATGGAGTGTAGCCCGTCCGGCTCCTCTGTCCATGGGTCTCTCCAGGCAAGACTGGAGCAGATTGCCCTGCCCTTCTCCAGGGTATCTTCCTGACCCAGGAATCAAACCTGCATCTCATGTTTCCTGCATCTCATGTTTCCTGCATTGGCAGGTGGGTTCTTACTACTAGCACCAACTGGTAAACCCCTTTTGTAAATATAAGCCAAATATGTTCAATAAACATATTATAAAAATAATTGTTTTCCCCCAAAAGTGAAGAAAAGGTGATGTAAATTCACTATTTGGATTTCAATCTAGCTTTCTTCGATTTTCTATAATATTAATATTGGTATTTCTAAGAGGCAGGTGGAACTAAATGGAGTCTTAATTCTTTCTGTGCTGGGATCATTTTGATGTTTATATCATTAAGACTTGGAGTCTTGAATGATAAACAAACACCGCTGGGATGGCCTGGGTTACACTGCAGTCATGGAAGCTCTTGTCCTTCCCCAGAAATCCTATCAGTGCCCAGGTGTGCAGCAGTGGGGGGATTTTCATCCACCCACTGAGCCCATGCTAATTTCATGTAGTCAGGTGAGCAAGTATGCAAAGGTTGCACCCTGAAGTGTGCCTGTTGTCATAGAAATATGTCCCAACTCCATAAGGTCTTTAGCATTAGCATGTTAAAATGGTATGAAAATAAGTACTCCACTTCATTAGATCAGCTCTAAATATTCTCTCTATACCAAAGCCTCTGTTTTCCTTTTTCTCTGGCTTAAATCTCCTTTTCTTAAATGATTAGAGCACAGAACACAGTTTGCATGTGTGTGTTTGTACCTGTATGTTTCTATGATCATGGCTCCTAACATAAACATAAACTGCATTAGTAAAGGGTTTTATATGTTCTTCTTCAAGAACAACACTAAATGATGTTTCTACCAAAGGACCAGTCTCATCTGAAAAACAAAACAGTTTTAGTTCTTGGTTTATGGTAGTCAATAAGAAATTCAAAAGATCATTTTGGAAATTATTGCTACTAGTGTTAAATTACTGAATTTTTTGCAGGAAGCAACTAACTACTATTTGTTTTATACCTTCCAGCTGATATTCGTATACTAAAATTCATACACAGGAAACCTTCATGAAAGAAAATTCCATTGAAAAGTCACAAAATACAGTCTTTAATTACCAACTACTTTTATTGTTTTCCTTTAATCTTTAAAACTTTTTTTCTGCAAGTTAAGTTTGATTTTTTTAAATTTATTTTTAATTAGAGGATAATTGCTTTACAATGTTGTGTTGGTTTCTGCCATACAACAACTTGAGTCAACCATAAGTATATATACATATACCCTCCCTCTTGAACCTTGACCCTCCCTCCCATCCCCCCCTTCCATCCCACCCTTCTAGGTTGTCACAGAGCATCGGGTTGAGCTCCCCATGTCATAGAGCAGCTTCCCACGAGCTATCTGCCTTATATCTGATAATGTACGTTTCAATACTACTCTCTCAGTTTGCTCTACCCTCTCCTTCCCCAGCTTTGGTCATAAGTCTGCTCTCTATGTCTGCATCTCCATTCCTGTCTTGCAGACAGGTTCATCGCTATTGTTTCTCTCGATTCCATAAATGTGCACCAATATAGGGTATTTGTTTTTCTCTGACTTCCCGCTGCATAACAGGTTCTAGGTTCATCTAACTCACCAGAAGGAATGCAAATTTGGTCCTTTTTATGACTGAGTAGTATTCCATTTAAAATTTATTTTTAATGGAAGGATAATTGCTTTACAATATTTTATTAGTTCCTGCAGTACAATATGGTGAATCAGCTATAAGTATACATATACCCCCTCAGCAACTTTTAACTGTAAGTGCTAGCCGCTCAGTCGTGTCTGACTCTCTGCGCTCCCACAGACTGTAGTCCGCCAGGCTCTTCTGTCCATGTAATTCTCCAGGCAAGAATACTGGAGTGGGTTGCCATTTCCTAGTCCAGGGGAATCTTCCTGACCCGGGTATCGAACTCAGGTCTCCTGCATTGATAGGCAGATTCTTTACCATCTGAGCCACTAGGAAAGCCCTATTTTTAATTATAAGTCAGCCTAAACGATTTAATGTTCCTCCCCACGTGGGGACAAGGCTTTGTGACCAGCCAGTCGTTAAGCTCCCTGAGGCAGGGCCTCAGCAGCACCTCCAGCTTCTGCTCCATCTCAAGCATCTACAACAGGGTTCCTGGACATCTGGGGTCGGGGGAAACAGTCGCCTTTTATTTTGAAGGAGAATCCTCTTCTCCGCGGATGCAAGAGTAGCGAAAGTCAAGGGCGAGAATGGGGTCAGCCGAGATGGGGTCGCCACACCGGAGGAGTGGCCGGACAGACAGGACTCCGGAGGCGGCAAGTGAACCCGGAGGGACAGCTGAAACAGGGTGCGCGCGGCGGCCCGACGCGGGAGGTCGGGGGGCAGGCAGACAGAAGTGAGTTTTGGGACCTTCTTTCCGGGGAGCCCACGCGGAGGAAGCCGAGCCCACCTTCCCCGCACGTGGGAGCCGGCCCCACGCCCGCCACGCTCCCCTGGGCGAACCCGCGGCGGCAGGTGCGCGGGAGCATGCGCCCGGGCGGCCCCAAGCCCGGGGCCCCCGCCCCGCTCTCCCCTCCTCCCTGGCCCCAGCGCCGCTGCCCCGCCGCGCGAGCCCCGCGCTGCCGCTCCGCCCCAGGCCTGTGGCCGGGTCCGCCCGGCGGGCGGCGCGGCTCTGCTCCGGGTAAGGAGGGAGCCGCCGCGCGCGCCGCGTGCCCGAGACCGCGAGGGCGCCCGCCCGCCGCCCCCGGTGTCCCTGCGGCGCCGCCCCCGGTGTCCCCGCGCCCCGCTGGCCGAGGGGCGGGCGCGTCGCCCGCGGTGGGCCGCCGGGCGGGGGGCGGCGGTTGGGGCCGCGCGCCGCCTCTTTCTTTCTCTGTCCCCGCGGGGCGCGCGCTGGGCTCCCCGGGAAGGCGCTGCCCGCTTGTCTCCCACTTTGGACGAGAGAGGGAGGACTCCCAGGCCCTCGCCGGGCGTCGTTTCCTCCCGGGCCACAGTCCTGTGGACGGAGACCCGCACCCCGAGTCCGCCCGGCCCGGCGATCTGGGTCCTACCTGCCCCCTGCGCGGGACTCCGCCCAGTGCGCGGCGGGACGGGCTCACCTGGGCTGGGTTATCTGCTCGGTCGGTGCGGGCGTGTCCCCCGTGGGGGCGCTCTGGCGAGCTCTGTCCCTGCCTTTTGCATCCTCTTATGGAAGATGAAAGTCCGCAGAGTGTGCTTTATTTCGTGTATGCTTGCAGCCACTTAGAGGGGCGGTCTTGATCCGCCCACGCCCCGGAGTGGAAACTTACTGAAAGGACGGTGTGGTGGTGGTTGTTGAGGCTGCCGCGTGTGGAAGCCCCGAGAAGATGAGCCCAGTGGGGATCCGGTGGGGACCCCTTCGCTGGGCCACGTCCCTGCCCACGGCTCACTCTCCCTGCAGGTTATTCGGTGTCCAGCAGGGGCACCAGGTTCGAGGCCCCAGGGTTGGAGCTTGTCTAGAGGATGCTTCTGGTGGGCTCAGGTTTCAGTCCTTGACCTACAGAAGCCTCGGAGGGTCTCCTGATGGTTTCAGAAAAGGTTGAAGTGGTAAACGGTGGTGGAGTTTATTCTTGATGCTTGGTAATGGAAAGATGTGGAATGTATTTAGTTCTTCACCAGATGCTAGGTAACCTCAGTTACTGCTTATTGCACTTTAGAATCTGCAGAAAGTTGTCAGAGTAGAGGTTTTTGGAGTGCACAAATGGATTCAATTCTGCCGCACTGGTGTTACTGTTGAGCAGGAAGAAAGATAACTGCTAGTTACTATGCTCTCAGATTGGCAGGCACATCCTTGGATTTGTATTGCAGGTGACCTTGACCGTGTAATTGTTTCCATAGCACTGCTGGACAGTATTGGGGTCAAGAGAAGAATTAAACTTACTCTGCCACTGCATTGAGCTCCGGGTCTGTGCAGATGGACAGAAGGAAGGAGAAAGGGGTGCCTGCCCATAAAAAGATGATAATGGTTTAGAGCCAAAAGAAATCATCTGCAGGGCCCAGTTTGGGTGGTGTGGACATCATGCCCTCCCTGGCAGCCCCCACCCTCCCAAACTAGAAAGCTTGCTTTCACCTTTCATGACTCAGCGTTTCTCCTCTGTGAGGGCTTCCCTCATTCTCAGCCAGAGTTCCTCCCTTTGACCTGCACTTTCCCAGTTCACCCATCAATGCCTGTATAGAAACATGTTCTTTTTTAGTAACCCTGACTTTAGGTTTTGCCATTTCCTTTTTATTAATTAAAAAATTGAGGTATAGTCGACATAAAACATTATTTTATGTTCCAGGTGTGTAACCCAGTGATTTGATATATGTGTGCTATGGACTAATCATCATCATAAGATTAATTAACATCCATCATCTCCAGTGGTTACAACTTTTTTTTTCTTACGAGTGGGAATTTTTAAGAGCAACTTTCCCAGCAACTTTCAAGTGTGCAATGCAGTATTATTAACTACACTGCACTGCGCACTTGAAAGTTGCTGGGTGGCTCAGAGGTAAAGAATTCAACTGCCAGTGCAGGAGATGCAAGAGACGGGGGTTTAATCCCTGGGTTGGAAAGATCCCCTGGAGAAGGGAATGGCAACGCACTTCAATATTCTTGCCTGGAAAATTCCATGAACAGAGGAGCCTGGTGAGGCTACAGTCCATGGGGTTGCAAAGAGTCTGACACGACTGAGTGACTGAGCGTAAGTGCACACACATGCGTGTTATTATCATCATTAATGATAGTCATCAAAAAAGATGGTATGTATTCTTCAAGACTTAGTCCCTGTCTTTAAGGGATACATGTATGTCCTTCAAGGGTAGGAACGGGTCCTCAGATCTCTTTATTCAGGGTGTCTTTGCTGTGTGGTCATAGCTTTTTAACGTCAACGATGCTAACCCTCTGGCACCTGGTACGGTACCTGGCGGGTGCTTCAGTGTACTCTTACCAGGTGTGTGGAGAGTGGAATCCAGCGGGGAGCAGAGGCTGTGCGGGGAGGCGACGTCCAGGAAGCCCCTCAGATGATGGAGCAGGAGTTGCTGCTGGAAGCCCTGGCGTTGTCATGGTGAAGGGCAGGGAGAGCGAAAGCCACTGCAGGGAGGGGGAGGGCTCTGTGCAGGCAGCCCAGGCCCCCTGTTCCTTCCACTGTGACTTGGGTTCCCTTCTTCAGAGCTGAAGGAGATTTGAAAACCACCATTAGACCCGTGATGATTGCTTTGACTAATTATTTTAATGAGGAACACCGCTGCTGGGAACTGGGGACTTGGCGGGAGAGCCAGGTTGGCGAGCTGGGAGCAGGGTAGCAGCCAGGTTCAGTGTTTAGAAAGCTGCGTTCCCAGAGATGCTGAGATGGTGACTTTGGACAGAGGAGCTCTGATGCTGGGTCAGGAGAAAGCCGCCGGGAAGTGTTCAGCTGTCACGGAGGAGGGGGCAACAGTGAAAAGCAGGAGAGGGAGCAGGGAATTACCCAGAGAGGAGGGAGCACTTACCTCCCTGCCTGCTGAGGTTCCACCCAGTGAAGGAGACCCCAAGAGAAACCAGGATGGTCAGATGCGGGGAAAGCAGGTGACCAGTGACAGGGGAGCCCGTGCAGAGCCAGAGGGGGAGCTGCTTGTTCAGTCGGTACAGATGAATCATCCTAACTGCGAAGATGGATTTCAACTTGGCTCGGAGGAGGTGGTGTTGGCTGCAAGGCTCAGCGTGAGCCTTTGGTCGTGTTTTGCTTTTTAGTTAGGTATAGACATGCCCCCCTTTCATTTGAATAGTGTTTTGTGGTTTACAGGGTGTTTCCTCCTTGTAGCATTGGTGAACATTTTTGTTGTTGTTTAGTCGCTAAGTCTGGTGTCCAGCTCTTTTCGAACTCCATGGGCTGTTACCTGCCCAGCTTCTCTGTCCATGGGGTTTCCCAGGCAAGAGTGCTGGAGTGGGTTTTCATATCCTTCTCCAGAGGATCTTCCAGACCCAGGGATTGAACCCATGTCTCCTAAATTGGCAGGCAGATTCTTTAGCACTGAGCCACCAGGAAAGCCCATGGTGAACATTTTGAGGGTAGTTTAGTGTAGGAATAGATGTCCAAGTGAAGAAAAATTTTTAGGTCCATTAAAAAAAAACAGTTCACATAATTCCAAAGGACCCATGCAATGAGTATTATTATTAAAACAAATATAGTTATTACATTGTAGTTAATAAAACAAAAACAATGAATTAGGATATACTAGGAAGAAATAACGAAGAAGGCAATGGCACCCCATTCCAGTACTCTTGCCTGGAAAATCCCATGGACGGAGGAGCCTGGTAGGCTGCAGTCCATGGGCTCGCTAAGAGTTGGACACGACTGAACGTCTTCACTTTCACTTTTCACTTTCATTCATTGGAGAAGGAAATGGCAACCCACTCCAGTGTTCTTGCCTGCAGAATCCCAGGGACAGGGGAGCTTCGTGGGCTGCTGTCTATGGGGTTGCACAGAGTCGGGCATGGCTGAAGTGACTTAGCAGCAGCAGCAGCAGGAAGAAATAAAACTCTAGTTACTTCACACACACAGACTTTTTTTTTTAATATTAGCACTACTTTTTTTTTTTTTTAGCATTTAGAAGAATGTATCCCTATTTTGCAATATTGGGGGTTTCCCTGATGGCTCAGTTGATAAAGTATTTGCCTGCAGTGCAGGAGACCTGGGTTTGATCCCTGGGTCAGGAGGATCCCCTGGAGAAGAGAATGGCAACCCACTCCAGTATTCTTGCCTGGGAAATCCCATAGACAGAGGAGCCTTTTGGGCTACAGTCCATGGGGTTGCAAAGAGTTGGACAGGACTGAGCAACTAACATCCCTAGTTTATTTTGCAAATACACTTTTCCCCAGTGCCAATGGAAAAATGAAAGCTTTGCCCTGAGCCCAAGGGAGCTGTCGCTCTGCTCGCCGGGCCCCTGTATGCCTTCTGGGTGGAGTCACTGCAGGAGGGCCCCGGCCCTGGGATCCCGCTGGAACTCTCTGCCTCCTTTCAGCTCACGTGTAAGCTGTTTTCTTAGTGAACCTGGACGTGGGGAGAAGGCTTGTGCATCCATTCCGATGATGGATCTTTAAGTGCTGAGAGTGTGGTGGCTGCCACAGTTATTAACGGATTGATAACGTGTGTGGAAGGTGCTGGGTGGGGGGACTGGGGAACTGGCAGCCGCGGTATATCTGTTGTCACAGTGCCTGGCCAGAGAGGGCGCACTCAGCCCCGGGACAGATGGACAGCAGGGCACTTTCTTACACGGCATTCTGCTGTGTGAGCTCTTACTATGGCTTTTAAGATTGTGACAGCTTTAATTTTTTTTTTAATTGAAGTGTAGTTGATTTACAATGTTGTGTTAATTTCTTCTGTGCAGACTCCATTTTACACATATACACATTCTTCTTCATATTTTTTCCCACTATGGTTTATCTCAGGGTGTTGCATATAGTTCCCTGTGCTATACAGTACGGCCTTGTTATTTTTAATTTCTTTTAGATCAAATCATGGTTTCCTACTTACTCCTTGTTTTTTCTCTCTTTTCTTTTTTGAGGGAGGTGAGTGCAGTTCAGTTCAGTTGCTCAGTCGTATCCAACTCTTTGCGACCCCATGGACTGCAGTATGCCTGGCTTCCTTGTCCATCACCAACTCCTGGAGCTTGCTCAAACTCATGTCCATCGATTCGGTGATGCCACCCAACCATCTCATCCTCTGTCGTCCCCTTCTCCTCCCACCTTCAATCTTTCCCAGCTTCAAGGTCTTTTCCAGTGAGTCAGTTCTTTGCATCAGGTGGCCAAAGTATTGGAATTTCAGTTTGCATCAGTCCTTCCAGTGAATATTCAGGACTGATCTCCTTTAGGATGGACTGGTTGGATCTCCTTGCAGTCCAAGGGACTCTCAAGAGTCTTCTCCAATACCACAGTTCAAAAGCATCAATTCTTTAGCACTCAGCCTTCTTTATGGGCCAGCTCTCACTTCCATATATGACTACTGGAAAAACCATAGCTTTGACTAGACGGACCTTTGTTGGCAAAGTTATGTCTGCTTTTTAATATGCTGTCTAGGTTGGTCATAGATTTTCTTCCAAGGAGCAAGCGTCTTTTAATTTCATGGCTGCAGTCACTGTCTGCAGTGATTTTGGAGCCCAAGAAAATAAAGTCTGTCACTGTTTCCACTGTTTCCCATCTATTTGGAGCCTAAATGGGGGCAAGGCATTTTTGCTGGAAGTCAGCTTCATGTCAGTCGTGTGCTGTGTGCGGGGGGTGACTA